TCCCTTGGGGTTGCTTTTCTTGACGAATATCTTTGTGCTGTTCTCTATATTTCCTGGACTTGAATATTGGCCTGCCTTGCTAGGTTGGGGAGGTTTTCCTGGATAATATCCTGAAGAGTATTTTCCAGCTTGGATTCATTCTCTTCGTCGCATTCAGGTACGCCTATCAAAAGTAGATTAAGTCTTTTCACATAGTCCCACATTTCTTGGAGACTTTGTTCATTCCTTTTTACCCTTTTTTCTCTAATCATGCCTTCTCGTTTTATTTCATTGAGTTGATCTTCGACCTCTGATATCCTTTCTTCTGCTTAGTCAATTCGGCTGTTGAAACTTGTGCACGCTTCACAAAGCTCTTGTGTTGTGTTTTTCAGCTCCATCAATTCACTTATATTCCTTTCTATTTTGTCCATTCTCGTTAGCATTTCATCAAATCTTTTTTCAACGTTCTTAGTTTCTTTGCATTGGGTTAGAACATGTTCTTTTAGCTCACAGAATTTTCTTACTACCCACCTTCTGAAGCCTGATTCTGTCATTTCATCCAACGTTGTTCCCTTGCTGGTGAGGAGTTGTGATCCCTTATAGGAGGAGAGGTGTTCTGGTTTCGGGTGTTTTCATCCTTTTTGGGCTGGTTTCTTCCCATCTTTATGGATTTATCTACCTGTCGTCTTTGTAGTTGCTGACTTTCAGATTGGGTCTCTGAGTGGACGTTCTGTTTGTTGATGATGAAGTTATTTCTGTTTCTTAGTTTTCCTTCTGACAGTGTGGCCCCTCTGCTGCAGGTCTGCTGAGGTCCACTCCAGGCCCTGCTTGCCTGGGGCTCACCTGCAGTGGCTGCAGAACAGCAAGGGTTGCTACCAGTTTTCTTCTTCTGCTATCTTTGTCCCAGAAGGATACCCGTCAAATGTCAGTCTGATCTCTCCTTTATGAGGTGGCTTTTTGGCTATACAGGGGTCACGGAGCTGCTTGAGGAGACAGTCTGTTCTTTATAGGAGCTCAAATGCTGAGCTGTGAGCTCCGTTGTTCATTCAGAGCTGCTGGGCAGGTACATTTAGGTCTGCTGCAGCAGAACTCATAAACCGCTTTTTGTTCCCAGGTGCTCTGTCCCAGGGAGTTAGGGCTTTATGAGTTTCCATTGTACTGCTGCCTTTTTTTTTTTTTTTCAGGGCTGCCCTGCCCAGCAAGGAGGCAACACAGTCACTGTCTGCCTGCAGAGGCTTTGCTAAGCGGCTGTGGGCTCCGCCCAGCTGCTGTATGAACTTCCCTGCAGTCCTGTTTATATGGGTGTAGTTAGAACTGCCTCGGCAATGTTGGCCCACCTCTGTATTGGCGGACTCTCTGTAATGGCAGGTTGCCTGGGCAATGGCAGGCTGCCTCAGGAATGGCGGACTACCTCCGTAGTGGTGGAGTGCCTCGGTAATGGCAGACGCCCCTCCCCCACAGAGCTGGACCATGCCGGGTTCAGCTGCGCTTGCTATGGAACTCTCAATCCAGAGAGTTTCTGATTGCTGTTCTTTTGTGGTGGTGGGACCAGCCGAGCCTGATCACCTGGCTCCCCGCCTCAGAGCCTTTTTTTTTCTTTTTTAGTTGAACAGTCAACTCTATCACAGGTGTTCCAGTCACCTGTTGAAAAGTTGCCAGGATCTGTGTGATTTCGCATGCAGTGACTTGCCAGCTTAAACAGCGGCACTTTTTTTGCCCAGGAATCCCCTGGCCTGGCTCCCTGTTCAGTCCCCTCTTTAATCAGATGAATGGGCAATTTCCCGGGGCTCCAATCGCCAGCCAAAAGGGCACCGGGACCAGTGTATTTTGTATGGAGAACCCCTGGCCGGGGCACCAACAAAGCAGCCACGCCGACCAAAAGAACCACACCGGCGAACTGTGGGGCTCCTCCGCCTGGGAATCTCTTGGTCCGTGGGCAATAAAAATGCAGCGTCCACTCACCCTCTGTGCTTTCACTGGGAGCTGCAACTCCGAGCTGTTCCTAAACGGCCATCTTGGTTCTTCCCCAATCTGTTGTTGCTTTTGATGAAGAAAAACCACCAGTCACAGTGGTTCTGAATTTGACTTCTTTGAAGGCGTTTTGTAATGTGATTCCCTAATTTCCTCAGAAGTTAGCTGATGTGAAGTAGTTTGTGGCATTTGATTTTACCTCATTTCTTATGGTCTTACATTATAATATAGTATTGTCTTTGCTCCATATATCACTTAAGAGACTTCTGAAAACACATTATGGCTGCTACTGTTTTCTTAGTACCTTCCCAGGAGGGAAAGTAATTTTACTCCTTAGAAGCAGACTTACTTTAAAGTGTAAAAGATTGAAAATCTCCTCATTCTGTCAGTGGGAAAAACTCCAAGATAAATTTCTCACTAGTGATATAAAATAGCTTTCCACTTTCCCCCCCTAAATCTCTTCACTTTAAAATAAATCAGAAATAGTTTGGTATTATATCTGGAAACATTTCAAAATTATAAGTAACATCCCTATCAATTAGTTTATTTAATCTACAAAGAGATATTGTGGACTAAGATGTAAATAGTACGAACTGATAGATCACTATACTTTGTCCTCTAGAGTAGGGGTCAGCAAACTTTTTCTGGAAAGAGACAGGTGGCAAAAATTTTAGGCTTTGAAGACCATAAAGTCCCTGTTTCAGCTATTCAACTGTGCCACTGTAGCACAAAACCAGCCACAGGTCATGATTAAATGAAGGCATGTGGCTGCTTTCCAATAAAACATTATTTACAAAAACAGGCAGGAGGCCTTATTTGGTCCTATAGTTTGCCAACCCCAACTCTAGAAAATTCTATTTTTTGTATACTTATTTTAGATATCTGACCCAGCACTGACCCAAAAGGGAGTCTCCTTAGTTTAATTGTTAGTCTTATACCTTTCAAGCAATTGATCTAAAAACATCAAGTGTCTTCAAAATACCCAGCATCTTTGCTGGGTGCTATGGAGATGCACAGGAAGTGTAAAGATCCAAAAGATTAGCTGTGAAGATAAAACTAAAATTCTTGAACATTTAGAGAGCAGCTAAGTACTCAACTGCATGGTAATGAAAGTAAGTGTAAAAGGAGTTGAAGATAAAAGAAAATAATAAGGACTGGAGGAGTCATTGGGGAAGAGTTTATGGAAGATGTGGAGGGAGTGGAAGATGGATCCTGAAGGATGAAGCTTAGATTGAATAGCCATCTGAGGGGGAAGAGTAGGAAAGCTTGTATTATAGAAGGAGAATCAGAAGCAAAGCCAAAGAGACAGTAATGGACATGACATTGTAGGGCGGAAGTGAGGATACTTGCCTAGCTGAGTTTTTTTTCTCACTCAGTGGAGTTATGGGAAATTGAAATGGGTTGGGTGGAGTCGGATCATACTGAAAATCTGGGAAGTCAGATGGAGATGGAGGTGTTTGGCTTCCATGTGGTCGGCATTTGAGAGCCACTGTAGTTCTTTGAGCAGGTTGGTAATGAAATAAAAGTGGCATTCTGAGGTAAGTGAAACAGTGGTTAAAAAAAAAAAAAGTGCTGAAGTCAGATTAACATTCCGTAAGGCTGTTGGGATAATCCAGAGTAGAGGATATTAAGATTATGCCTACATATGATGAGATAGGGTAATGGGGATGCTATGGAATAAATGTTTCTGTTCCCCAAAATTCATATGTTGAAGCCCTAATCCATGTTATGGTATTAGGAGGTAGGCCTTTGGGAGCTAAGTAAATCATGAGGGTGAAGCCCTCATGAATGGGATTAGTACCCATATAAGAGGAGGCCAGAAGAGCTAACTAGCTCTTTCCACCTTGTGAGGACACAGAAGTTGGCAGTGTGCAACCCAGAAAAAAGCCCTCACCAGAACTCAACCCTGGTAGCACCCTAATCTCAGACTTCCAGCCTCCAGATCTGTGATAAATTTCTGCTGTTTTTAAGCCACATAGTCTATGACACTTTGTTATAGCAGCCCAAACTTCCTAAAACAGGAGAGAAAATATTGAATCTGAAAAGCATTTAAAAGTATGAAACATCTAGCTTCCGGAACACATGTAACAAAAATAAGGATAGATGCATCACATAAGACCTAAGAATCCAGGCTTTCTAACCAGGACAATTCAAAGACTGGGGATGTGATGATAGAAAGAGGAAAACTAAAAGGAAAGTCATTTTGTTGATGACTAGAGTTTTGTTGACATCAGGTTGCTAAATAATAACTTATTTAGTGTTTTTATATGAGCTTTAAGAAATAGAAGACTCCAGGCAAGCAAGAATCCTTTCACAAGAGTCAATTATAGAAGACTTGTAACTGAATGAGCTTAGCAGTGAAAGCAAAGACTTAGGAACAAAAGGTTGTACTGATGATTTGAGCATATACATACATTAGCCCCCTGTGAGGCCATTCATTAGAACCTTTATTGACCTGTCTCTGACTTCTTTGAAAAGGTTGCCTAGATGTTTATGACATAAGCTGTAATAACTAAGAAAGACTTGGCACTTGCCTCATTAGCCAGAGACTCAAACTCAGAACTGTGCTTTATTTCCTGCACATCTTCCTTTCAATTTCTGCTCTAAGAGCCTGTAAAACTCACAAAAGAATGACATGACTCTAGTTGCCTTTGTTGTTTTTCAGCTTTAGGGGTCTGTGCATATGCATTCGAGAGTTGGGAAGGTGACCCTGAGGGTCCTCCACAGGCTGAGAGCAGTGGGATAAAGTCAGCAAAGGAGGAGAAATACAGGAAAGGGCAGGCTCATGAAAGCCAAAGAACAACTTACTAGATAGAAATGGTTACAACTAGTATCAAACACATTAAGAAGTCAAGATACGTTGAGGAACTACCAAATGAATTACCATAGGGCTGGTAACCCACTTGATTTAAAAAATACAAATATACCTTGATTCAATTAGCTAATTAATTATGTACTCTAAGAAGGCAAAATTTTTGCTAAAATCAAATTCATGCCATAAAACTTTTGTTTGAAATCTTTCTTTGATCCCCTTTCCTCGGTCTACTCACATGAGCATAACTCAGGAAGAAGAGCTGGTTGTTGGTGAATGGAATGCCTGGTAGAAGAGGCTCCTCAACTCCCTGCCTTCTGTCATTTATCCATTTCCTGTAAGCCTGGTGAGAGAACAAGAAGAGATGAGTCTTTGCAATGGTGAGTTTTTCTCTTTTCTCAATAGGTACTCCTGCCACATGCAAAATGCATCATGTCAAAATTTTCTTTATGAAAAGAAACACCTGGAAATGCATGTCCATGTCCTATCACTTACCAGTAATGCAGGTACACCTGCAGAAAGGCCTTACACTCAATGTATACCAAAGCAGCTGGACCAAAGCATTCAGATGTTAAATAACACTTGGGAAAAGAAGCTGTTCTTTCTATTCCTAGCAGGGAACAAACTAATACAATGGCAAGACCCCTATGGCAATAAATTTTGGGGTCCACATGTTACCATTGTTTTTACTTTGCCACGTAAAAGTAGTGCCCTCCTTTTATAAAATATAGAAAACACATAACCGGGAATAACAGTCCAGTCGTTAAATTGAATGCATTTAGCTTTATGAAATCTTTCTGCATTCTCCTTATGCTTGTTATTTGACCACAAACTAGTGGATGATGAAAACGTTACAATGAACCTTGCCCAGTATATGAGAACCACTACCCTCTGGCCATAACTGAGAAGTTGGATATTGTAAGAGGACTACAGAAAGACCTACTCAAGGAAAACAAATGAACCTAGCCCCAAGGAGAGTTCTGTAGCAGGCTTCAATCTGATTTCTAAAAGCTATCCTTTAAATACATGATTCTCAATAACAAATATTATTCTTTAGGGTGACTTTCCACCCCAAAAAGAAAAAGAAATGTAGTTCTATTTATATAATAGGGTCAACGGGGAGATACACTTCTATTTACAGAAATTCCAAAATATCTAACGCCTCAAGAACATAACTGTGGTATGAAGTGAGGTACACCCATATGGTGTTTAATGGCTTGATTTTTAGAACCACAGCAAACATAGCAACGCATACCCTAAAAGCTTCCCGCAGGCCTCCATTATCAGCAATATTTTCTCCCAGGGTCCTCTTCCCCTTTACCTAACCGAAAGAAAAAAGAAAAATGAGTGTTTTGTGGTCAACCATCATTCAGCAAGGGGCATAAATATTATAGCAAGAAAAGTATCAAATTTTAAAGAGAAAATTACATTCAGGAAATCAAAGATAGTCATAATTAGCCAGCTCCAATAAAACGTTAACAATATTCTGAGAGACTGTGGTTTAATGGGGAAAATTAGGAATGTCAATACACAGGTTACTTTCTCTGATTAACTCACAGAATTTGAGTATTCTTCTCATTGCGCCTGTGTTTCCAAAAATTTACCATCCACACAGGAACAAGATTTCAAGACCTTCAGCAATTTCTATGAAAAATTAAAAGTAGCTCTCCTAGGGAACAAAAATCAAATAGAAGTAGTGCAGATCACAAGGTTGAGGTTTGCAATATGTATGACAACCAGCCAAGCATGGTAAATAAATTCTTCCCAATATTCGAGATTGTTTCTTAAAACTTTAAATGAGCTAGGACAAAAATATTCTAAACCAATACAGCCCACAAGCCAAATCCCACCTGCTACTTGTTTTCGTACAGGCTGCAAGATAAGACCAGATTTTACATATTTCAACAACTGGGGAAAATCAAAAGAAGGATAATATTTGGTGGCACATGAAAATTATGTGAAATTCAAATTTTAGTGTTCATAAATCAAGTTTTATTGGGTCACAGCCATGCCCATTCGTATACATATTGTCTGTAGTTGCTCTCTTGCTACAATGGCAAAATTAAATATTGCAACAGAGACCATACGCCCCACAAAGCATAAATTATTTACTGTCTGGCTGCTTATAGAAAAGTCTTTCAACCTTTGTGTAATAGGCAGAATAATGGCCTCCCAAAGATGTCTGTGTCCTAATCCCTGGAACCTGTGAATATGTTATCTTATTCACTGCAAAGAAGATTCAGGCACAGAGGAATGGCCCCTACGAAATGAAGCTGGAAAAATAAAGTATGGCAAAGGAGACTTTTATGATGTGATTATGTTAAGGATCTTGAGATGCAGACTTTAGCCTGGATTGTCCAGGTGGATCCAGTGTAATTACAAAAGTCCTTACAAGAGGAAAAGGGAGGCAGGAGAGTGTCACAGTGATGCAACGTGAGAAGACTCCACTGGTCATTGCTGGCTTTGAAAAAGGAAGGGGCCATGAGCTAAGCAATGTGGCCGGCCTCTGAAAGCTAGAAAAGGCAAGGAAACCAATCCTCCCCTAGAACCTCTAGAAAGGAATGTGGCCCGGCTAACACTTTGATTTTAGGCCACTGAGATCCATGTCAGACTTCTGCCATACAGAACTGTATGATAATAAATTTATGTTCTTTTAAGCTACTAAGTTTATAGTAACTTGTTAGAGCAAGCCACAGAAAACTAATATACCTTGCTTGAAACTTTCAAACCACAGATCTTACCAACGCTTTACTTTTAAGCTAGCCCAATCACCCAGGTATCAAGCAATATCAAGGAATAAAAACAAATCTTTGGAAAATATTATTCACTGTAATCACGCAGGACCCTCCTAGCTTCAGTATACAAAGGCTACCATTCCTGCTTTACATATATTCTTTGTTATCCACAATCCTATGAGGAAAGTGCTAATTACCACCATCCTTGCTCAACAATTAAGGATCTAAAGCTCAGAGTACATAGCAGATGTTGATATCCCACCAGATCCCCTTTTCTCCCTAAACTGTGCACCCATTCCCGCAGCTGCTAACAGCTCAGATCAACCTTAGTTTATAGGAGACACCTCATTTGGAGACTTCCAGTAATTGACTGACATACAGATCGAACAGCCCCTGGGCTTAACAATTTCTGTGGTATAATTCATGCTCCAGAATCCTTTGTGGAATCAGGATGAGGCTAAACATCTGAAACCAACAGGTATCCCTCATTTTATTATAGGCTTCTCCTGAAACTACTTTCTCATATAAATCACTGACCTAGGCCAGGTGTGGTCACTCAGGCCTGTAATCCCAGCACTTTGGGAGGTCAAGGCAGGCAGACCACCTGAGGTAAGGAGTTCAAGACCAGCCTGGCCAACATGGAGAAACCCTGTTTCTACTAAAAATATAAAAATTAGCCAGGCATGGTGGAGGGTGCCTTTAATCCCAGCTCTTCGGGAGGCTGAGGCAGGAGAATCACTGGAACCCAGGAGGCGGAGGTTGCAGTGAGCCAAGATCACACCACTGCACTCCAGCCTGGGAGACACAGTGAGATGCTATCCAAAAAAAAAAAAAAAAACATGACCTAAGGAACCTCTTTCTTGGGCTCTCCTAGTGAACAGAAGACAGAGTGACGAAACTGCTCACATTTGCACTGGGATTCAAACACAAGCAGTCTTCTGTCTCCAAAGCCTTTGCTTCCTACTATGCTACCTTCTCAAGTACCAACTCCTCTTGGCTCTTGAAGATCATGATCATATTATCCAGTTCTGCTTAAATTTAATCCCCTTCCTTTTTACTCTGAGCTTTTTTTTTTTTGGAGACAGGGTCTATGTCACCCAGACTAGAGTGCAGTGGTGTGATCATATCTCACTACAGTGTTCAAACACTTCTTCCATCTCAACCTTCTGAGTAGCTGGGAGTACAGGCTTGCACCACTACACCCAGCTAATTTTTTTAAAAAATGTTTTTATAGCGACAGGGTCTCCGTATGTTGCCCAGGCTGGTATTGAACTCCTAGGTTCAAGTGATCCTCACACCTTGGCCTTCCAAACTGTTGAGAATACAGGCATGAGCCACCATGCCTAGCCATTCACTCTAAGCTTTATATCTAAAAGAGAGCCTTTTGGAGCAGACTCTCCCCTCTGGCTCCTTGAATTCTGGTCTGCCTCAGTAGACCACATGGCCCTAGGTTTGGACTCTCATGACTCAACCACAACAAAAAGGCTCAACAGCTGCTGATAGCCTGCATCTGTGGTGCCCCATCTGAGCTCTGCCGAATTCACAACAAAGAAACATTGAGGCACAAAGGAATAGCTCCTATAAATGAAGCCAGAAAAATGAAGCATGGCCCTTATATCCACAAAGGAAGCCACCCACTCTCCTGTGGGAATGAAACTGAAGCTGTTTTCTGATGGTTAAGTGGATTTATGCTAAGACAGGCATGCCCTTTCTATCGTCCTTGTGACAAAGGTACACATTTGTCAGAATTAAGTTTCAATCTCTCTGACACTTGGGCCAAAATAAATGGTGAAGAGCAGTCCACCCACACATCACCCAGATATAAAATGAACTTAAAATAAGAACCTGAGCATGATATAGGGGAAGGAGTATGGACTTTGGAGTCGTACAGACATAAACTCTTATCTAGACTCTGAACCTCAGTTTAATCCCTTTGAACCTCATACGTAAAACCTGTACACTTAGTAATAACTACACCTCTCAGGACCAGTATGGGGATACATTTGTTTCAATTAAGTCAAAAGTTTCACTCTCATGCCTGCATATGATAATCACCAGGAAATATAAATTCCCTTCCTCCAAGAAAACTGTTCTATTATTTTTTGGGTTTTTTTAAACCCAGAAAATCTTTGGCTTTGTTTTTTCCTGGGATAGGGTACTAATGAGTATGTCACAAAGGATCAGGAATATTAACTGTCTTGTATTGAACATTTACTGTAGGTCAGGCATTGTGCTAGTGCTTCACATTGCTTTGTTCATTTAATTCTTACAACAAATAAATGAGTTCAGAAACACCCATTTCACAAATGAAGATGCTGAGACTCAGGAATATTAAGTAACTTGCCCAAGTTCATAAAAACTAGTTGAACCTAGATTTGGACCCATGTCTGATTCTAGAACCCCTTTCTGCTATGCTGTTTTTGAAGCAACATATACTCCAGATGACTTTTCAGTGTGAAAACCCTTGCACTGTAATATAGATACACAGAAGCACCCATTTTAGGTCTTCTCTGGTCACAGTTGTAGATATTCCAAAATATATAGGTGGAGAAAGGGCTTTACAGGACACTGATAAGATAGCTAGACACCATTCAAGGATACTGACTGGTTTCTCTGCCTGAATGAGCAGTGGTCTCACTTGGGCTGAGCATGGTTTAAGAACCAGGAGAACCAAGTCAGTGTTTATAAACATTCCCTTTAAAAGAAGCATATGGATTTTTACCTAAGTTCATCTGCAAGTATAATAGATTTGAGGCATAGCAAGGATTTAGGTATTTTCCAGCCCCAGTAATACATCAGGACAAAGTTCCTACCTGGTCAAGGGATGACAAGGCCCCCATCCCAAAGATTCTGATTCAGCAGGTACGGGGTAGGACTCAAGAATGTTCCCAGGGAAGACAGATGCTGTTGATCTTGTAAACACGCTTTGAGAACCAATGGTTTAAGGCAAGCTAATGTCCAAATGAGGAAAAATGAAACACAAGGTTCCCCCTTAGCCACAGTTGTACTCACATTTAAGCCAGCTTTCTTCCAATAATAGTTGCTATACTGGTTAATCATACACTTTGTTTTTTCCTTAAACTTTTCTTCTGATTCAGTAGACCACCAAGGATCCAGGTTTCCATTTTTATCATATTTTCTACCTAGCAAAAAGAAAAGTTCAAAGACATTTATGTTATTTATGGAAACTAAATTCATCTTTCCTTTCCCTCACCTCGACAAGCCTTCAAAAAGCAGTCATAACAGCAGGGAACACTCTTCCTCAGATCAGCTCCTGCCTTCTCTCCGATGTCACAGGTTAATTGTAAAAAGAGTGAAAAGGATAAAGAGAATTGAGAAAGTTCTTTCCTTCTAAGGAACATAGAGCATCTTAAAAATGAGATTCAACAATTTGTTACATATATTAGTCTTATCCAATCTTGCATTCTGTGTGTTCAACTGATCTGACCCAAAATGTTCACTGGACTATGAAATAAGATGCCTTCATTTAGAAAGCCCATGGAGGAAATCAGAGCATTACTACCAGCTAAATTCCAAATGATCCATAGGAATAGCCCCAGTGAGTCATCCATACTGTGAGATCATAGACCCTGATTCAGCCCTATAAGAACCAGTTTTCTCCAAGTTGCCAGGAGCTGAAAGACACATAAAACCTCTGTTATGAATCATTCTACAGCCACTAGTGTCCTGCTTAGATGAGAAAGATTGCTCTAAAAAGAAAACTTGGAACAAGAATGAAAATCTCCAAATCATAATGGAAGAAAGATTAGTTAAACATCTTTCTGGCTATGTGCTCACTTCATTTTTCTCTACATCCTTTGAAACAAAATTTGGATGCTGCTAGACTGTCTTCTATATTCAAGGTTACTATGAGAATCAGAGGCATTGTTTAATTACACAGACAGCTTACAAGAAAGTCCCCTAAGTAAAGTTGTTAATTGGAACAACCCAAAACTCTTCAGCAAGGCTATATGCTACTACCACCACCCCCGGGATAGTATGGAGTCACTGTCCTTACTAACCACTCATTAAATAGGTACCAGACATATATTTATATGTGCAATGCACTGTCCTAAGCATTGGTTACAGAGTGAAATTGCCACCATTAGATTCATTCCTTTGAGAGAGACTTCGCAAGTTCTTTAGAAGGTTCTGGGGGAGGAATTGTACTTAAATTTCCTAGGAAGAAACTACTAGCTGTTGTTTCTTAGCTAAGACTCTCATCTCATCTCAGATAAACCAAACACCCAAAGACAGAACGTCTAACTCTGGAGAGTCAGATGACTACAAATCAGCTACATTTTAACAGAGAAACGAAGACCAGGAGAACAAAAAAATCTACGTGATTAAGGAAGGTCTGGTGGGAGTACAGAAAGACTTTTCTAGAGGAGCCAAAGGGTCTCTGGCCCTAGGGTAGGTATCCAGGAAAGGATGTTAGAGATACTACAGGGAAGGGAGGAAGAAGTCCCCCTGTATATAACGTTGCCTTGGGGCAGCTGGTTCCTGAGACTGCCTATAAATCATTGTATGGGTGTGGATGTGATAGTAATTTGCTGCTAATCCATAAGTTTCAGAGATTTCATGTGGCCTTCCAATAATACTCCAAAGTTAAAGGAGAAAAGAGTGCTGATTAACGATGATGAAGACTCTCAAAGGCAGTCATTTCTTGAGTTTATGTCGTATTCTGCTTTTTCCTTTTTCTTAAATGTCATTGGGATACAAAGCATATCCTATTACATAGATTATTAGGAACAAATAGAATAGGCCAGGGGCAGTGGCTCATGCTTATAATCCCAGAACTTTGGGAGGCCAAGGTGGGCAGATCACGAGGTCAAGAGATCAAGACCATCCTGGCCAATGTGGTGAAACCCCATCTCTACTAAAAATACAAAAATTAGCTGGGTATGGCAGCACATGCCTGTAATCCCAGCTACTCAGAAGGTTGAGGCAAGAGAATTGCTTGAACCCAGGAGGCCAAGGTTGCAGTGAGCCAAGATAGTGCCACTGCACTCCATCCTGGAGACAGAGTTAGACTCTGTCTCAAAAAAAAAAAAAAATCAGAATATAAGCCAGTATAGAGAAAAATAGACACTAAGCATTGCATAATCTTCGAAATTGTAAAAGGGAACCAGTCAGCCAAGCTCCAGAGTCCTAACTCAACAAGTCCTAACTTGGCAGCATGTAAAATCATCGTTGGAGCAAAGCTTGCTCCCCAGGGAGAATATCTCAAGACAATGAATACAGAAATGACAAAGGGAAATGCTATATATCAATCCCTGTAACTACTATGGCAGCTACAGCAATCCTGATCTAAATGCAAAGCTAATTTTATTGAAATTACAAGGCCGCTTTTTAAAGTCTACCCCGATCACCAATGGGAACAACTGTTTATTTATTGCAAGCTATCACAGCAAGACACAGGAAAAAGTTTTCAATCAGCCTTCACACTGCTTTGGATAATCTTCAAGCTATGATGCTGCTGTTATGCAAAGATAATCATGACAATTAACATCCACATAGTCAACATTATTATAAAAGCAGCAGCTTGTAAAATGAACCAGTACTTACCATTATTATCAAATCCATGTGTAAATTCATGTCCAACAATTACTCCTATAGCACCATAACTCAGAGATCTATGGCATAAATAAATAAATTGGAGATAATTACAAGCATGAATCTTAGAGCATAATCCTTTAATTTTTTTCAATGGAAAGCCAAGATAAACTGCTTTCTAGTAACCATGGTAATAACAATCTAATAACCAAACCCATAAAGCTACAAAAAAACTAAACATATCTTCCAATTGAAATAGACAAAATATAAATTCTAACATTGTCATTATGACCACATATGAACCTTAGCATCCTGCTCTGTGAAATTAGGGATGTGAAAGAGATGATTTCTAAAGTCCCTTTCAGCCCTAAGATTTCTATGATTTTATATCTGCTGTAGCTATATATTTATGAACACCTAAAACAGGGCTTGAAAAGATCCTGTCAGTAAACATATCATTTATTTTTTTATCTGGAAACTTGTTGAAAAGTCACTATAATCTTAGAAGTTAAATTGTTTTCCAAATGGAAACGTGTTGAAAAGTCATTATAATCTTGGAAGTTAAATTGTTTTCCAAATGTAGTCATAAAAAAGAAATAGAGCAGAGATTAAAAGGGATCACTCTGTTTTCAAAGGCAGTCACGTTCCTCTTTCTGTTATAGACAAGATGACAACTGAATAGCAAGGATTTGAAAAAGGTGCCACATTATTTCTCTTCACCTCTGAAGAAGCATGTGGTAGATTATCTATAAAAGGGGCCACCCACAATTCTACCCACCCCTGAATGCAAATATCCCCTCCTCCCATCAAGAGGCAATTGATTGCCCTCTGCTTAAATCTGGACTGGCCTTGAGACTTGCTATGACCACCAGAATGTAGTGAAAGGAGTCAGGTATAATTTCCGGGCCTTAAGAAACTTAGTAGCTTCCATTTTCCACCTTCTTGCAAGTCACTTGCAAAGAAGCTAACTAACTAGCTAGAGAGAATGAGGCCAAATGAGGCAAACAGGAAACCCCAGAAGTTGAGAGACTCTGAAGGAAGAGAGAGAGGCCCTGGCAGGCCCCAGCCATCAGAGCCAGCCCAACTGGGGCACAGACATGTGAGTAAAGTCACCTTAGATCCTCCAGCCCTACTTGAGTGACCCCAGCCAGCACCATACAGAGCAGAGACCAGCTGTCTCAGCTCAGTCCTGCCCAAACTACAGAATAATAAGCCAACAAATGGTTGCTTGATGGTGCTTTGTTACATAGCAAAGCATATTAAGAATATATGAAGAAATCAATAATGGGGTTTCCATATGTGTGTCTGGGATTTTCTCTCTCAGTATGAATTCTATTGAGGCCAATCCCTTATCTACTTGTTCATTGCTAAATCCTCTTTACCTAGTACAGAGTAAGAAAGTAACAATGATTCAACTAATTGATGAGTTAACTTTACCATCTCGTGCAAGTGACTGATCTATATGTATCTGAATTTAGTCACTGAACCTATGGATGAGAATTACAGACCACTTAGAATCCTCATTGTGAAGATTCTTCATGAGATTTGCAATTATGCTAAAAATATCTCACAGTTAGTTCCTGACATGCAACATCAAAGTCACCCAGCAAATAGATAGCACCCATAACTGGAAGGAATGGAAATTTTTGAAGCAACATGTTATTACAAGACATAATGATCCTTACCATACTAATTGTTTGTCTCAACTATACCCAAGGAAGTGTTGTATGATTTAATTTTTCCCCTTGGTGGCAATTCTTTCCCTTATTATTTCTTTCCTGTAAGGTAATTTGCATTTGAAAAAATGCTTCCTACTGTTTTTCCATCACTGCAAACCTTCATTAAAGAAGAGTGAAATTATGCATTTCAATCATAGGACTATCATAGTAGTGTGGGACAAACTTGTAATTTTACATAGTGTTAATTTTTGTGGCAGTAGCTATCAGTGTGTAGAGTGCAGCATTTAGTTTTTTCAGGTCTCTCAGCTCTGAGAATAAGTACTTGGTCCTCTACAACCCTCTGTCAATGCTGTGGACTGGATGAATTGAAGGCATGAACAGTGGAAACTTATAGAAATTGCTGTGCAATAAATGTCCCTTAAGAGAGGGGCTGCTCCAACAAGCTTCCTATTTGCAAAAGGTAATAGAGAATTCAGAAAGGGATTGAATCATTGTAAAGTTTCAATTCTCAGTTACATAATGACAATCCTTTGGACAAGAGACAAAAAGTAATTTTATATGACTAAGCCTGGCAATAATATTTCATAATATTAGATTCACATCCTCCATTTTATCAATGAAGAGTATTTACATTGCATGTCATATTAAAAAATAAATAAACTCTCCCTTTTAAAATGCAACCTTGGCTGGCTGCTCAGAAACTGTAAGATTTCTTGCATTGAAGATCTAGTCTTCCATAAATGAAATGGGGAAGACACCAATTTCACTACCTACTCAGTTTCTCTTTTGTTCTTATTACTCAATGGGTTTAACATGTACACAGAATTTGCTGTCAACAACAAAACTACCATACTGCTGTCTGGACTAACCATGATCTCACACTGTTGTCAAGTAAGGGCTGCCCAATGCCTGAATCATAAAACGATAAACATTTCTGAGTTAGAAATGCCTTACAGGTCATCTAGTCCAAGTTCCGGAATGGGATCCCTCTAGAAAAACCCATTTAAATGGTTATAAGACTCTGTTTGGGTATTTCCAATGACCAAGAGCTCATCCCCTTCTAACATAACCCATTCCCTCTTTGGACGAGTCTAAACATAATAGCTCTCCATAATGCTGATCTGAAATGTCTTTCCTATGGCTTCCATCTATTGGCCTAGTGCAGCCTCTAATTGAACACCTGCTGAATCTCCTGAATATAGTAATTCATTCTCCCACCTTAACTTTCCTTCAAAAATATGCTGACAGTTATGAGGTTCCCCCTCAGGTGTTAAGTTCTTTCAACTCTTATTCTTCAGTCATGAATTCTAGATCAGCGTTTCCCAAAACATAGGGGAGTTTGGGAACCTCCAGGTTTCGAAGGATGGTTACCAGAGTCTGGGAAGGGTGGTGGCGGGCTGAGGACAGAAGTGAGGATGGTTAATGGTACAAAAAAGATAGCTGTGTTAAACACATCCAAATAGGTTTCTTTCTTGCAGAAATTCTACGGAACTTTTATGCTGATAACTATTGTGATTCTCCAAAACTGAGGGAAGTAGAGGATGACTTACCTCTATTACTATTTCATGGAACACACACTTTGGGAAATGTTGTCTTCAACCATTTACAGACCTGATTCTCTCCTCTGGAAACAATTCAGCTTGTTCATGCCCCATAATTAGACTCAACACTCAGATGAGGACTAAGCTGACCAGTGTGAGCAGAAAGGATACTCACTCCCTTGATTCTAGAGGCTCTCCATCTATTAATACAGAATAGATGAACTTATGGGAGGCCATCTCACTGGACCGTGACTCCCATGTCTTTAGCATATTTATATTCCCAATGCCAAATACCCAAATGATACTTAATAGCTATTCATTGAGTGGATAAGGACATAGAAGTCTTTAGGAAAAAAAATTCTCTTTCACACTCAAGTATTCGCTATGACTTAGCCTAAGGAACAAACAAATAGACACTAACATTAACTCCTAGGTTTCTATGACCTTAGCTTTTATGTCAGAAAATCATGCTCACAGACCCAATAAACAAATCACCTGATAACATCAAAATCTAACCAAACTATTTCCTAACCACAATAATAGAAACTCAGTTAAATTGTTAACAATAAGCAGAATCAAAGAATTCTAGGACTTTATTAGTTTGAAGGCAGCTTAAAGAATATTTTGCCTAAACATTTTTTTTTAGAAATATATACATATTTCTAATCTTAAAAGTAGGGCAAATTGATTCCAAACATCTGAACCCTAAAGAAAACTATGCAGCAGAGGCCTGGGATGTTATTAATGAATTTGGTTAAATACAAACCTAGAATTCTTATTTATTCTAACAATGGTGCCTCCATGTAGTAAGCTTTAGCAATGGCTGCCCATGTCCTCTTAGCATTCACCATTTTTGAGCACACCAATCTGACACCCTTCAAATGTCAGCACCTGAAGCTAGTTGCCTAAGGACTTTCTCTGGCCACTAGAGCCCTGTTGGCCTAGGATGGACACTGCCAGGTACCGCCTGGTAGCAGCCCTCAATCAATGATAGAAGGTGAGTGGGAGGATAAATACCCCAGCTGCCATGTCTCTGAGGTGTGATCACTCTGAAGCATGTTTTACAGTTCCCCATCAAGATTGAGCTCCAGTTGCCCACAGTGATAACTGGCTTTGTAACACACATGTGGTAGGCGGAATAATGGCCTACAAAAGATGTCCACATGCTAATCTTTGGAACCTGTGAATATGTTATGTTACACAGCAAAGGGCAATTAAAGCTGCAAATAGAATTAAGGTTGCTAATCAGTTAACCTTAAAATAGGAAGATTATCCTGAAGTATCTGAATGGTCCCAATGTAATCACAAGGGTCCTTTTAAGTAGACGGGAGAGACAGAAGATGAGAGTCAGAAGGAGATGTGACTATGGAACTTTAAGGATGGAGAAAGAGGTCATGAGCCAAGGAATGTGGGCCCCCTCTAGAAGCTAGAAAAGGCAAGAAAACAGATTCGACTCTAGAGCTTCCAGAAAGAAATGTAGCCCTGCTGACGCCTTGATTTTAGCCCAATGAGAACCAAGTTGAACTTTGGACCTACAGAACTATAAGTTTATAAGTTCATGTAATTTAAAGCCACTAAGTTTGTAGTAATTCATTTTGGCGGCCATAAAAGACTCATAGGACACAATTTATTTGGCTTGTTTCCCTCACTATCTCAATTCTCCACTCTCCTGTTGGTGTTTCCTTGTACCACCTCTCAAAAGAACTAATTGCACTTGAATACGTATCACAAGGTCAGCTTCTGGGAAAGCCCAATTTCTCTTATTGATATATTTATGGGAATCTATATCTTTTAAACCTATATATTTTTAAATTGTCATATATCCAAACCAAAACACAAGAGACTCAACTTATAAAATCAAGACTAAAATTTTCCATGCATTAAAACACAGCAAGTAAAAAGCATAAAATAAAAGTGTTGATACTGACATTGAATATTATCAGAAACTCTACTATGTATGGAAATTGTGAATTACATGAGTCTACAATCTGTTGGCATTAAAATGACTTTTAAACTGGTATCCCTAACTTAGTACATTACCAATTTTGACTTATTCTGTAGCTTCACAGGTTATATTTCTAAAGATAAACTTGATTATCTTACTAACTTGCTCAAAAATTTCAATATTTTCTATTGCCAATTAGTATCTGAGCTCCTTACCTGCCATGCAGAGCCGTCCAATATCAACTCTCAGTCTTCGTTTCCACACCTTCCCTTCATATACCATTTGGGCTAGCCAAACTAGACTCTGCCATTATAGAAACACTTTTGCCTCCTTATCTCACATTGTTTCTTCTACCTGGAATGGTTTTAGACCCATCACCATGAATTCAAATCCCAACAATCCTTCAAGGTCCAAATATTGGTAGTATGAGTTAATGGGTAAGAGAATAAATACATAAAAATTAAACCCACCTATGTGTAAGTTGGGCTTCCTGTCCAGTCATATACCCTGGCAACAAGGATTGCAAAACAAATACCTAAAATGATAAGAGTACAGCCAACCCATGCCAGATTCTATGCCTTCTTTCTGCTGAATAACCACTGATTTTGTTTCTTTTGTCCTCCAGGGAAGCAACATGTTCTTTCTTCCTAACTGGTAACTGGTTTCTTTACTCATTTACTCACCGAGGATATTCTGTTCCCCAAAAGAAAGGCTTCTGGAGCTCTCCTGCTGGAAATCCTATGAGAAAGACAAAAAAAAATGTTAAGAGATATAGAGAGATTGATTCAATGATGAGTAACTGGGTCTAGCTATAATACTGAGATTTCAAAGACCCATCTGAAAGGCACTCCTTGTGGCACTGGGAGCCCTCTAAGAGATCTAGCTGTCTCAATGATATCAAGTCAACTGAGTTTGAAATAAGTGTATTAAATGGTTTCAGGGAAACCATTTTGCACTGGTACACTACTAACAATGTCCAGCTTGCTGTGAGCTGGCCTCCTTCATACATGGCATGCCCATGAGGCTTCAGGCTGTCCAGCAGCTTTGCCTGATACAGAAAGGACTAGCTTCATGGGTGTGTAGCCTATGTCATCACACAGACTCCACAAAGAAGGGTCCTGCACTTAGTTTAATGCTCTCCTGCCACCATCTCAAAATTCTTAATGATTTTGTCTTTGAACTTGTATTTGTGGGTGGAGCCTGAGAGGACAATGGAACGTGTGTGTAAACAGAGAAGATGTGCACAGTATGTGTCTGCTGTTCCTAGGAGCCCCATTCACACACAGCATTCACAATGACCTAGGAGCACAAGACTCCATCAGGCCCACAGTGCATGGGAGTTCAGCAAGATGCCAAACAAGTGCAAGGTAAACATGATACATCCGGAACTGAGTAAGCTCTGATAGCCCTAAGAGGCCATACGTTTCATTCAAACCAGAATTTGCTTAAACCACCCAAAGAAGGTAGTGGAAGTCTAAGAAACATGAATGACCAAGGAATCCTGTCATAACCTTTCTTATACTTGTTACTTCCCTGTATTGGCCAAACACCTACACCGAAAATGACGACATAGAAGGACAGAGAAAGATAGGGTGAATTATATGGTTTGGCTGTGTCCCCACTCTAATCTCACCTTGAATTGTAATAATACCTACATGTCAAGAGTGGGGCCAGGTGGAGATAACTGAATCATGGGGGTGGTTCCCCCATACTGTTCTCATGGTAGTGAATAAGTCTCACAAGATCTAATGGTTTTATAAAGGGGAGTTCCCCTGCACAGGCTTTCTTGCCTGCTGCCATGTAAAATGTGTCTTTGCTCCTCTTTCACCTTCCACAATAATTGTGAGGCCTCCTCAGCCATGTGAACTGTGAGTCAATTAAAACGCTTTCCTTTATAAATTACTCGAGCTCTGGTATGTCTTTATTAGCAGTGTGAGAACAGACTAATACAATGACCTACAGTTTCTTTTCCTTTTAGTCCTTCCTTACTCATCAGTAAACCAAAGGTAGAGAGTCTTGGTAGAATGTACATGTATTAAGAAGTGAAATTAAAACAGCGTGAGTTTTGTTAGGCATTTCCTCCATGCTAGTAAAAACAAAATACATATGCACATACAAGCTACAAAATACAAACTGTGTAATTTTGGTGATTCCACATACAAGTTAAATGCTCTTATGTTTGCATTTAAAACTGTCATTCCACAATATAGAGATGAAAAATAACACTCATGCAATGACTTAAATCTTTCATTTTTCTTATAATAGCATTGAATAGCAAATAAAAAAAATACCATGAGAAGTTGAAAGAGAAAGACCACAAAAGAGCAAGGCTGTATATTTTAGCACCCTCAATGGCATCTTTTCCTGCTTCTGGAACAAAAGGCCCCACATTTTTATTTTGCACTGGGCTTCCCAAATTATGTACCTGACTTTGAGTGCAGATGAGTGGGAGACATGCTTTGCTTTGCCCTTGCAACTCACCACTAAATTTTGCACCCTGGGTTGATCCTAGGAACTGTACTTACAAGTCATAACAGCTGATAGAGCAAAGAATCATAACCAAAAAGAGAGAGAGAGGCCTCCTGTAGTGTCCTTCACTGCTCCAGAGCAATGGTTCTAGGCCCCATGAGACTGAAAGCTGTTTTATAAGTCAAAATGTTCTTCCTCCCTCTTCTTAACTTTTTTTTTCTCTCTCTTCTCCATGTCAGAACACATGAGGAGAAATGAGGATGGGAAAGCAAGTCCTTAATTTAGAAGGGAAATGGTGGTTATATATAACCCTTATATATATTCTTTATATTTTATTAATATCATAGTTTGCAATTGCAAGGTGCAAAAGCCTAATTGCAAAACAGAGATGGCTCCAGCTAGTAGCTCTCTGTCATTTTCACATAAAGGAAAATGCATCTAATATGATTTTGAAGGGGCAACATCATAATAATCTTCATAATTTCTACATTTCCTTATTTTTGGCATCTTTACATCACTATTCCATCCTCATTCTGACCTGGATATATATACATACGTAAATATGTATTACATATAAATGCAAATCAGAGTGTTTATATGAAAACTCAGTTTCACATAGTAAATCATCAAAAAGCAATGATATTTCCTAATAACAACAATGATCATAAACCAATGTGATTTCATTGTTAAATCATTATGGCTTCCCTGGCTGGTAATGTGCCCAGCTGGAAACATTTACGTCCATTGCCAACCTCTTTACAGGAAAACGTCTGACACCTGCATGAGCCTCTATTTCTGCCACTTTCACCATTAGAAGCCACAGACTCAAAAGGTGAAGCCATCACATCACTCTGTTCAACTGTATCTGCTGAGCTTGTTGGGGCCATGGAACCCAATACTGATAAACAGAAGAATCTGGTACCCTTAGGCATGTTTTGCTGAAGTGAATGGATTAATAGTGTAAGCTGCATTTTTGGAGAAGTCAACCAGCTAGAGTGATAGATGGAATCCCTACAGGGTTGACTCAGTATCTTATCTTATAAAGCAGATAAGTTGTATTTAGCAAAGGTAGAAGTGAAAAATAAGTAGAAAGGGAATTCCTTTTCTCTCCCTTTTTAATAGGTTCTTCTTATGTTTTCTTTTATATCCATTTTTTTATTTATTTATTTATTTATTGCCATTTCAACACCACCTTCCCACCTGTTTCATACTCTTACAGTTCCTTTTTCTATCAGTGTACTTATGGGAGCTGTTCCTCACAGTGTAAATGTCTCTGTGGAGGTGAGGGAGGAGAGGGGGAGAGCGGGGGAAAGAGAGAAGGAGAGAGAGAGGGAGGGAGGGAGGGAGGGAGAGGGAGGAGAGAGAGAGAGGGACATTTAACTAGTGGTAGGCAAAAAGTAATAAATGTGATAACAGGTAATATTGGCCAATGTGTAGGAAACACATTGATGGGAGTGTAAGTTGTTGCAAGCATTTTAGAGATCAATTTAGTCATCTCTTAATGCTTTAAATGCCATTTTTTAAAGAAACAAGTAACTAGTGATATGGCAAAAGCTCTAAAAAATATTAAGTGAAAAACACCATTCAGTACAGTGTATGGAATTCTTTTTGTGTAATCTATGTGTAAGAGTGAGCCCCCATATATACAGTCAGTTCTGCTATGACACCTGTATTGAAAAGGCAAATTTATTCCAAGGAAATTGATACATTAGGGGAAAATTTGGACATAACTCCCATTTCACATTTGCTTATCCACAAGAAATGCTAGGAAAATGCAGAAAACTGCACCCAAATGGACTGAGCCATATAAGAATACACAAAATGCATACACCTCAACATAACTAACTGCCTCAGTTCGCCACGTGGGGTAGGAGCCACACTCACCACATCTGGTGTTAAAACTTTCCTTCCAATTTCATGTAACCCTCCTTCCACCACTACCCAAAAGCTCACAAGGAACATCCCCTTCAATGTCAACTTACACAAGCAAGTCTCTTCAAGGCAAGGTGCCATATTTACTGTAGCATCTGTGTGTTTACCCATTTAACATGTATAAAACCGTGCTATCATTTTTATTGGGCTCCCAACTTTTGTTTTTAATGTGTCACTGATAAAGGTTTTAACTGTTGTGCCCCAACCTCATTATTCATATAAGCCCTGTGGCCTTTTATTACATACTTTTGCATAGCACAGTGGTGGTTAAGAATACATATATGGCCGGGCGCGGTGGCTCATGCCTGTAATCCCAGCACTTTGGGAGGCCGAGGTGTGCAGATCATGAGGTCAAGAGATCAAGACCATCCTGGCCAACATGATGAAACCCCATCTCTACTAAAAATACAAAAATTATTTGAGTGTGGTGGCGTGCGCCTGTAGTCCCAGCTACTCGGGAGGCTGAGGCAGGAGAATTGCTTGAACCCGGGAGGCAGAGGTTGCAGTGAGCCGAGATCGCACCACTGCACTCCAGCCTGGCTCCTGGTGACGTAACGAGACCCTTGTCTCAAAAAAAAAAAAAAAAAAAAAAAAAAAAGAACACATATAGTAGGACTGACTGTATACATACATACCTGCCAGTGGTTGTCAAATTTTATAATGTACCAGAATCACAGGAGGGCTTGTTAAATTACAGATTGCTGAGCACCGCCCCCCCCCCCCCCCCCCACCTTTATGAGTCAGTAAGTCTAGGGTAGGGCTAAGAATTTGCATCTGACAAGTTCCCAGGTGATGCAGATTTGGCTGGTCTGGGTACCACAGTGAGAACCACGACCCAATCACTTGCACAAGTACACTAGAGTTCATTGCTGCATGGCTTGTAGTTGAGAAGTGTGCAGCAAGCTAAATGTCCAAATAAGAGGACAATGACTTAATTAGGGTATAGCCATATTGTGGACTGCTGTGCAGTAAGTGAAAAGAAGGAGGTAGGTCTTAACATTCCAGCATGGGAAATAATCCCCGAGACATGTTGTTGGCATAAGGCAAAGTACAGATATAGATATATAAATACAATTTATTTTCTTACATAACTGTCCTACCAGTGTGAGCATATACATATATGTGTGTATGTGCCTTATGTGTATGTGTATACACATGTAAATTATTTAAAAGTCTGTCAAATACATATCAAAGTGATCATAGTGGTTACCTTTTGGAGAAAATCAGGATTTGGGGTAGTGGCTGATAAAAATGGCTCTACACATAAATGTAATGTTTTAAATTTTGATTATCCAAAGATCATCAACTTGTGTAATGAAAATTCTTTTAGAAATAAA